ATTTAACTTCACAAAATACATGGGAACCTAACAAACACTACAATTTGTAGTATAATCAATTCAGAACCAAGAGATGAAGACTGATAGGAATAAGACCAAAATATGGGAGAGGAAGACTTATCCATATCAAATATCTCTACGCTCTAAAAGGAAGAGTTGAATGTCTTATTGAATCCTACCCAAATCTTGAAAGTGCTTGTTTTTAAACACATAACCTTATTTTCATCGGTCTGGAGTCAGGATGGAAGGAGGGAAGAGGACCCATTTTTTAAAACAGAAGCATCCTGACATCCCAACCCCGTTCTACAGAGACTCGGTGCCTCAGAGTCTTGGGAAGCTTGTTGCACTTAGCAATTGGTGTACAAAACTGCTCCTGGCCAAGGTGCTGAGGACCAAGGCTCTATAGAACAGAGATTAACCTGGGTGAACCGTGCTCAACTTCCTCACCACCACCAACTGACGCAACTACTGCTCTCATGGGGCACCACGCTGGGACATAATCGCCCGGAACACCCCAGTATCACGGGACCACCCTTGCACCTGTAGAGAAGCACGAGGCTGGTGGCACATTCGGAGCAAGGTTGGGTGGGGAACGCAAGCAAACCCCACTGGAGTTACAACGTTTAGTCTCCCAGTCAAATAAATGTGTCCCCAAGTCTTGAAAATGTTCAGAGGTCTAAAGGCCCACGAACCCCCAAACCACCCATGTGTTCTCTTGAATCTGGGGCTCTCAGTTGCCAGGATAGCGGTGAGCCTGCACCAGGAGAGCACACTGACCTGGATGCCTGAGCGCAGCTTCTCTCCCGAAGGCTCAGGTGTGCGGGTCGCTCCCGTGTCCCTCTCACCTTCCAACGTAAAAGCCGGGAACTCAGAGACAGGCCACTGGCCCAAGGACCAACTGCCAACTAACCAGCCGACCCGCCAGCACCGACCCGGTCCGGCGCCCACGTGACGGAGGCGGGGGCCCCGAGAGACTCGTCCTGGAGTGTGGCTCTCTGACTGCTTGGGCCTTCCCCTAGGACCGCCCCTCTGTCACCCCTCCTCTCTCTCCCTCTGTGGCCCGCTGGGACCCAAGAAGCTACCATTCCAGTTCCACTTGCCTGTTCAGCCCCGCCCCCCGGCAGTGCTCCGCGTGCGGGTCTCAAACTCCACCCCTCCCACGAGACCACGCCCCTCCCTGGGTCCAACCCACTGGTTGCACCTCGGACTCTCTCACCCTTCCGGCCAGCTGGGAGGCCCCCAGCCACTTCCCTGTGCCTCACCATACTCAGGTCTCCTGAGCTTCTGCAGTCTGTCAGCATTGCTCCCGGGACGCGGAAAGTGACAGCGTGGAAGCAGGACAGTTGTGCGGAGAATTGCAGAGAAGAGCACCGAAAAACACACACACACACACACACACACACACACACACACACACACACACACACACACACACACACACCGGTCCGTGTGCGACTCCATTGAAATTTGAGGTTGGGCTAAGGCCTGCATCATTCCTTCTCTCAGACTAGACTACCCCCACTTTGGCGGGCTCCTTAGGACTGACTGCGCACAAACCCCTGCGACCTCTCATGACCTCTAGTGGCTGACAACCTAGGAAAAGCTCTGGTGTCCTGTCTAGAGAATAACACTTCCTGTGTCCAGCAAGGTTGGGTACAAGTAAGCCAAAGAAAACTGTGGTGGTGTCTGCCCATAGGGGCTAGATTTTCAAATCCCAAAGGACTGTGCCCTGGAGACCGAGTCCCAGCACCTACCTCCAGTGTGCAGGCCTGCGGTTGTATCACAGGTGTTTACCCTACTGGGGCCTCCAGAGGAGGGCTGCTCAGTTTAGCTGCTTAAAATCCCCAGGACCTCAGATGGCAGTGACACCAGGGACTCTGGCAGGAGTCCTACTAAGCTGGACTTACACTGGAGTGTTGACATATTTCTACAGGACACAGTCTTTTCTTTTCTTTTCTTTTCCTTCTTCTTCTTCTTCTTCTTCTTCTTCTTCTTCTTCTTCTTCTTCTTCTTCTTCTTCTTCTTCTTTTAAACCCTGGTAGTCTAAAATTACTGGTGTGGCCAGAGGATTCACATGTGAACAGAACATAAGAACTCTGGCAAACAGGTGTGTGAGCACTGCAGGGACCTGGCCAGCAGCAGAGCAAAGGCAAAGCCAGCAGAGAAAAGCTGGGGCCCAGGAGACTTGTGTCACAGCAAGACACCCTTTGGTTCTTTCACTTCCTTAAAATTGCTGAGAGGCCTTTGGAGATAGAGCCTGTGCAGTTCACATGAGTTTCCCTACATTAAGTGAGCAGTTCTAAATCTCACTTGTAGCCTAGGGGTCCCAGTTTCTTGCCAAGGCCCACAGAAACTGCTAGTATTTTCTCAGAAACATACAATTATTTTGCAAAAAATGTTGTATGACCTTGCCTTTCTCAGCCTTATTTGCAGTTTGGGTAGGAGCTTTAGACATACAGATGTTCTCTGCTCTTTGCTCCCACCTCCAGAGGGTCTGACCTAATGGCATTGGAGAGTATAGCCTGAACATTAGAGTTCTTAAAGCTCCCCAGGGGGTTCCTATGTGCTACAGTATAATAACCATTGATGTGGGTCATGGAGACATCATCAGTCCTCATTGAAAATCCAGCCAGACTAGAGCTGCAAAGCACATATGTGAAAGACACCGAAGCAGGTGTTTCAGGGCCTGCATGCTGTTAGGAAAAGTAGCAATCAACAGGTCCTTCCTGAAAAACATTTTTTTTTTCACCTAAAAGAGATACTCTGCCTGTAGGGATTCTGTGCACTAGGGTGAGCAGTTTGGGATAGGTGTATCCTGCAGAGCTGTCGATGAAACATTTCCCAGCTAGAAGCCAGAAAGCATGATACAAGCACAGTATTCTCTTGACTTCAAAGGAGCCATGTGTAGAGGACTCATTCCTTTGATAATGCCCCTGCACCCTTCCATGTGAGTACATCACTTCTCAGTGAGGTAGGTAATGTGACTCTACCCATAAAGCAAGTATTGATTATAGATTCATGGAGTAGTTGCATCATGCTTATTCATTCATATCTGCTTTATTCTGCAAAATATTTGGGTTCTCGGGCCATTTCATCAGAACCGTGGGCCGTTCCTTTCTGCCAAAAATCTACTCAAATGGTATGTGGTAGTGGTATCTCTCTTCACTGCCTGTGGTCCCAGCCTGGACTTGGCAAAGACAGATAAACAGCTGCAAGCACACAAAGCAAGCCTTCTCATGTGACCAACCTGGAAAAGCAGAGACCTCAGCACATGACACAGGCTGGCACTGCAGCCTCACTTGTGACCTAGACTCAGCCAAATGGGACACACATGTGGCCAACACTTCGCAGATGCCCCTCTCAACTACTCTCTATAATGCTCGGCATGCCTGCTGTGGCAAAGCTGCTTGTCTGCTCCCTGGCTTCCATCCAGACTAGTATATTTACCAAGGGCCTCGGTGTGTTAGGGATCCGTTTACAGTAAGCCCAATACAGACAATTCTGGAAAGCTTTTGTGCTGGGGGGATACAAGCAAATACACCCGATGATGTTATTTGTTTACTCTCACATTTATTATATTTAAAGCAAGAAGAAAGAAGCAGGCAACAGAAAGACAAGATGAGGCTGGAGTTTTGGCCTTACCCTTGGGCTGGTTTTCTGAAGAAAGCAGACTTTGAAAGACCTGTAAGAAGACCTTGTGCAGACATGACAAGGGCAAACTATGATTTTTAGGCTGAACTGATGGACATAATGATTAAGGATAGATGGGCAAAAGTATATAATTGATCCTTCCTTCCTTGGATGATGAAAAGACTATGATGTTTGCAGTCTTTTCTAGCTCTTTCATTTTATAGTTTGCTACTTTGAATAACTCACCTGGACTCTCAACTCTGGCTTAGCAACTATAAAGATTTGTACATACCTACAAAGGTAAAAAGAGAATTACAAAATGTTAACAATCTTTGTAACTAGAAAGTAACATCCAACTATTAATGGTTTTAATTTGATACTATATCTACTTGCCTTGGTAAAGGGCAAGGCTAGAGGAAATAAAAATTTAAAAAATCAACAAGAAATAGTGCTTCCTGGGTGCTATGGTCTCAATTGAAAGCTGCTGTGTTTGAACATTTAGTTCCCAGCTGGGTGCAGGCCTTGAAGTGAGGCCTAACTAGAGGAGGTGAGTTACTATGAGTGCAAGCCTAAAGGTTTCTTAGCACAGCCCCACTTCTAGACTGCTCCTTGCTTCCTGATTGCAGATGTAATGTGAACAGCTGCCTCATGCTCCTGCTACAACACTTTCACTACTACCATGATGGACTACATCCATGTTTTTTAAAAGACAAGGTTTCACTCTGTAGCCTTGGTTGTCCTGAACTTACATTGTAGACCATATTGACCTCAAACTCACAGAGATCCACCTTCCTCTGCTTCCCTGAGTTCTGGGACTAAAGGGGTGCACCACTGTGCCTGGCTCCCCTTTAAAACTATAAGCCAGCAAAACCCTTTTGTGTCTTAAGTTGCTTCTTGCCAAGTATTTGGTCATAGCAACAAGAAAAGAAGCTAATAAAGTCGGCAATGAAAAAATATTTATAAGCATTTGAAAAAGAGGGTAGAGCCTGAGTGAAAGCTGAAGAAGAAATCAGTGAGGATCAGTAGTGGAAAGATCCTAATTGCTGGAGGAGTAATAGACTCAGAGAAAATGCTGGAAGGCAATAAGAAGAGATTGGGACTACTATAAATCAGATGGAGGAGGCCTTAAACCCCATCAGATTATGATTAGGATGGAGTATTGGTCAAAACTTCAGAACGATGGTCTCATTTATGTTTTCAAAAGATACCTAATGCAGTGACATTGGGGAAAGGAATAATATGTATGTAAACTTTTGGATCTTATTCCTCTGTGTATCTAGAGGGATATTACACTGTAATGGGGCTGTGATCTCAGTGTCCTGGAAAAACACTGCCCAAGTCTTACAACTCTCCCTCCAAGCTGCCATCCATTACTCCAGAGGCAGCCTTTTCTTAGTCTGGAGTTTGTAAATGATCTGATTGCCTTCATTCCAGGCATACAGCTGCTTATCTCTGGGGTTGTAATGGATCATGGAGTGACTTCTTGGCCGCCTGGGGAAGAACAAATTGGGCAGATGCTCCTCCCTAACAGTGCCCAGTGGATCATACACACAGGTAATACGGTGAGGGCCCTGGCCACCGAAACTGTAGACCACATAGAGGACCCCACACAGCAGGAATGAAGCTTCAGCATCTTGGTTTCTACACGGTGTTTCCCATGAATGCTCTACTCCCAAAGTGTCCGGATCAATTTTCGTGACAACCAAATGGCCTTGGATACCCGGTCCTGAGTGGATGGCCCAGAGCCCATGTTCATCCACAGCAAGGTCAATGTAAGTAGATAGGGAGTGTTGATAGATGGGGGCTCGTCCTGCCCCTCCTGGGAGAAGCATTCGGTCCTCCACAGTCTTCTTCTGCAGATTATATTTAATTATCTCATTAGAAGTTCCTTGATTGTGAAAAAATAGAAAGCTTTTGTAGATCACTTGCCCTGATCCCTGCCAGGAAAGTGGTAAGATTAGCTTCCGGGGACCAGGCTTGGTGCTATCTTCCATGAATGCCCTCAAATTTGCAAATTCCCAAACTGTGTTGTTTCTGGATCCAATTAATAAATACACTTTTGCAGAGTTACCACCAGCATCTTTCATCCAAGAGCCATCTGTGTCCATGGTCTTCTTCACTATTTTCAGAGATTTTATACTCATCAGCATGTTGTCACAGCCTAGCCAGACAGGAGAAAAAGAAGAGGTTATTCATGAACATGAGCTGTCTACTTTCTAGAAGACTCACCACACCTGAAGAACTTTGCTTGCCTTCAGATCTAATAGTAGTAGAGACTATCCTTTCATCTCTGTTATGATACCATGGTCTCTGACAGAAGAGTTTTCCTCAGAGAATCCTGGCACAAAAATGGAAAACAGGCATGAACTCCTTTGAAAAAGTAAACACCATTAGAACTGAACTCCCTCCATTTCCTGTTCCTTAATTATAGAATTTTTTAAAAGAAGCTATGTTTTTTAAAAAAGAAGAAGATATGTTATTTCTCCTTTCCATGAGAAATATAATCACTGTATTTTGATTACAGTCTATTCTAGCTTCTAGATTCCTCAATCATCTTGTAATCTTCAATTTTTTTCTTCATAACTAGCCCCTTAGTCTTAACTCACATGCATCTTGCTTATTATTATTTTTAAATCTCATGGTTGGACAGAGTGTGTATGTTCAGCACTGTGAAGCAGAGGCAGGCAGCTCTCTGTGACTCTGAGACTAGCTTGGTCTATATAGCAGTTCCAGGTCAGCCAGGGCTACAAAGTAAGATCCTATCTTAATAATAAATAAATATCTCCAACTTGCTAACCTCTGCATATTTTCTCTTTCCCACCATTTCACCCTCAGCTGCTCCTACAGAACAGTCTATATTTTCCATAGTTACTTTCTCACCTCCCACTCTCACTGTACAACATAATCTGTTCTTGATAATGCTACCAGGGAGCTCCTAAATGAAAATTCCTGCCAATCTTTCATGTGAGCATGTTACTTCATCTTCTGTAGTGTGACAGCATTGATCAGTGCCTCTTCCTTGATTATGCCTTCTCCCCCATCTTTGTCTCTGTTTTTTTCTCCAGTTTATCCTCTGACAATGTGGCAGAGATCATGATCTGTGTTCCTGCAATCCCATTTCTGTTCACTCTTTCTCGTTGCACATGAAACTATATTTCACAATCTCCTTTGTGGTTAGGCTGCTTTTGCCTGGTGCTATATAGACAGGAGTGCCATCTTCCAGATGACCTTAGCCCTTTGGAATCATCATTGTGACCATGTTCAAGAGGTCAACATTACTGGTCATTTCAGCGAAAGTAGGTCATCAGTTCTAATTTGGGACTTTTTGGTAGATCTCTATAAATCTGGCCAAGAATCCATTGTTAGGGAGCCACAGGCCACAAGGGTGAAACAATTATTATTATTTTGCTAAATGGATATAGATTCAAACTGCTCTCTAAATTGATATCTGTAGACCCAACCATTAGCACAGCTCTCAGACATCATCAGAGTAGTTTCTTTGTGCAATAGAAGTCAGTGAGCTTACAATTGGTCAATGCATGGAAAATAAATGTCTGAAGAGTACTCAGCCACAAAAGGGACATCCTCCCTCCCCTCAAGGCTCAGGGACCACCACAGAAGAAGGCCCATAAATATTATAAGAGCCAGGGGTCAAGGAGGACTGGAGGGAAACCCTATCATTGGTACTAGACAGAACTATTGCACTCACTCTATCTGCATAAGACCAATCCAATCACTATTCCAGCTGTGGGGTGTGTCGGGGGGTGGTACTTAGGGTCATGAGCTACATCCCTAGCTAGAGAGCTATTGATAGTTGAGGGTATCTAGGGAAGGGAATGCCAGATTTCTTTATGGGTGTGGTTCCTAGTAGGTCAGTTGTGCTCTGGTGATGGCCTCATATCCATGAGCACACGGGCAGTACAAAATGGACTTTGTGGGTTATAATAATGTTTAAAGGATGTGAGGAGGTGGGTAGTGAGTGGGCTGAGAGGAGCTGGAAGGAGTAGGAATGAAAATGATCAAAATACATTGTATGCATGCATATATGAAATCATCAAAGAATTAATATATTAAAATGTTTTTTTGCAAAATCCAATAAAAATATTCAACTGTATATCTTACTGCCTACTCTTCCCCTGCAAACCCTGAGTCATAATTTCTTGTGTAGATCACTACAAATGTATATGATTTGTCTCTAGCTTGCTCATCTACATGTCAAGTATACTTTCCACAAAGCAGTAAGAAGGATCAGACATTTTAAAATGTTTCTCCTTCTCCAACAAACTTAGAATAGCATCCTAATCCTCTACCCTAGACTGAACTCTCAAAGCATTGGTTTAGGCATTCAGTACAATACTGAACATGAAGTTGAAGACCCTGTTTTTGGAGATTTTTTGTGAAATCTGACACTTGTTTATCATTAGTGAGCCACCCTCTGTGGCTCACTGTGTTGTGATTACATAGTTTCTTTATGTTCTGTGAGCATGCCAAATTTCTTTTTGCCTCAGGAATCTTGCACTTAGAATTCTTCTACTTGAAACACTCTTTTCCTTGAACTTTGCACAGTGGATTGGATCCCATTCATTCTTCAAAGAATCCACCTCTGAATATCTCCAACTCACTATGTACCAGAGGATGGCCTCAAACTCACAAGTACTAGAATTATATGCCTGCACTACCATACCTGACCAAATCTCACTTGAAGTTTCGTCTCCTTAGTGGGCTTCTTCTTTTCTTGAGATCACCCAGTACACTAACTGTTTTTATCTGCTTCATTACTAGCTTAGTGTCCACCTCCCTCACAAGAATCTCCAAAAACAGGGTCTTCAACTTCATGTTCAATATTATACCAAACGCCTAATCCAATACTTTGAGAATTCAGTACATGGCAGTTGAGTGAAGAAAATAAAAATCTCAGATGTTTTGCTAGGGTCTAAACCACAGAACCATCTTAAGTAAATAATCATTCATAAAGCACTTCAAAGCTTTTAGGATACTTTCAAATCCATTATTTCATTTAAAAATGGATCCCAGGTTTTATGAAAAGAAAACATGGAATGGAGAGCAGGCTTAGCTGGACAGAGCCAAGTCCCAGAAAGTTGGTTCTTCAGATAGAGACACAGTGGCTTTACCTGGCTCATTGTGTGCCAGAGACCAGATTTAGGAAGAGAGTTGCAGAAGTCTCTCAGCTACCAGGAGCTGCCATGTCTTCCTACCATGCTCCAACAGCATGATGGTTTGCTTTCATGTATCAAAATTGTCCTGGTTGACCTGACTAAAGGAAGGTAGACACTAGAAAAGGAATCCAGGGACTTTAAACATCTCAGGAGCACATGGCAGAAGGTGCCTCTGCTGTAGTGAGCTACTGGGGACTGAGGGAATGTGTGGAAGTGGAACAGCCACCGTGATTCCCAGGGTGCCATCTCTACTGGAACACAGCTGAACCTGGCTGAGGTGAAGCCACTGCTCTTCCCTGATACTGTGCTGACTGCTGAGGAGAGGTGGGTGACTTTAAGCTCTTAAATAACCATAGACTGGTTGTACAAGGGAGGGCAAGGAGGGTCTGTGGGTTCCTAAAGATACCCATATGATATTCCATGTTAAAGAATAAGTTCAAGGGTTGAGTAGGTTATTAAATATTCTGCAAATACATAGAATATGTTTGGCACTGTACTGCATAACTTATAATAATTTATGTGATTCTTATAATAAGTAACCATGCCATATATTTTAATCACTAGTTTCCAAGTGAAGAAAGTTAAGGCTTGCATTAGTTTCTTGGAAAAGTCACACAGCTAGTCAGTGGTGAAAGGGTCTTCTTAACTCAAAGTTGGGAGCCAGGACACTTCCAGTGAGGGAAGTGTGTGGGGTAGGAAGGGTTGGGAGCCATGTATATTTGTGTGCCCAGAGAAAAACCATGGAAAGCAATGGGCTCTCAAGTGTGACAGAACATCTACTTCCAGTAGTTGGCCCCACAGTGCCTGTCACTTCTGCAGGGGAGGAACAGACTTGAATCTAAGCTGTATAAGGACTTTGTCTTAGAATGAGGAACATGTGTTTCTTGTCTATAAGAAAATATTTTTGTGGATTGCCTGCTTGGTGACATCTGGGCCTGGGTTCCTGCCAAGGGCCATGTCTTGGTCTGTGGCCATACCACAGCAAGGGTATGTGTTGATGTCTGTGGCTCCTGTTACCTACCATTGAAGGCCATGTGGATGCCTGGGGTCTGGGCTGATACTTGAATCCATGTTGGTATCTAAGGTCCATGCTGCCCCTGGAGCCTGGCTGATCTGGGTGGCCTGCTGTGCAACCACTGGGGCCATGGTGACAAACAGGCCCAAGCTACTGCCAAAGGCCATGTCTGAGTCACTGGTCCTGCTTCAGCTGGGGTCCATTGTTTGACTTACCACAGGGGCCCATGCAAACCATGCATGTTGAATTCCAAAGGAAATTCCATCTTACACCAATCTGAATGGCTAAGATAAAAAACACCAATGACAGCTTATGCTGGAGAGGGTGTGGAGAAAGGGGAACTCTCCTCCATTGCTGTTGGGAGTGCAAACTTGTACAAACACTATGGAAATCAGTTTGGTGATTTCTCAGAAAATTAGGGATCAACCTATCTTAAGACCCTGCAATACCACTGCTGGGCATATATCCGAAGGAGGCACATTCACACCACAAGGACCAAACTAGACTCCCTTAATATAGGTGACAATGGTGTGACTGGGACAATGCATGAAGCCACTGACAGTGGGTCCAAGGTCTAACACTAATGCACAAACTGACTTAGTGGAGCCCATTCTATATGGAGACATACTTTGCCCAGTTTAGACACAGGGGTATGGGGGTGGAGAGGTGTCTTTCCTGCCTCAACTAGATGATGGGACAAACTTAGTAGACTTCCTAGGGCAGGCCTTACCCTCTCCGTGGAGCAGATAGTAGGAGGGGGAGGAGATGAGGGAGGGGGAACTGGGATTGGAATGTGAAAAAAATAAATTAATAAAAAAAGAAAATTCATCTAAAGCCATAAGCACTTCTCACCACATTATGAAACTTTGTTATAAATCTTGACTTTTTAAAGCCTTACTCTTGTCCCAGTTAATGAATGGTTCCATCTGTGTAGCCCTCTTTCAGGGTGGACAATATGGACAATATGGT